AGTCGCCTTCGTGAGGTATTCTCTCTGGGAAGATGCACGCTTCTTTCGCGAATAATGAAATTAGAGTCGCGTCCTATTTGCGGTCCATGCGGGGCAATATTCTTCAATTATAGCTGCCGTTCGAGAGCACAGTCTAGGGGGAAAGAGGCAAGCAAGTACGGTGCGTTGTCGCAAATAAGAAAGCGCTTTTCGAAGGAGAATGCCGCTTGGAAAATGTGATAGCGAGGGAGAGCTAAAGAGAGAACCATAAACGTGAGGAAAACGGAAGGACGAAAGAGAGACGGAGCGGATAAAAAGCCAAATGCAAGAGGATACACGAAATGTTGAACAGAGACAGCGGGATCGTCGTTTGCAACCGACACCGCTTTCTTGTCGAAGAAAGGAAGATCTCGGATGCCTCTTTACTTCGTCATATAAAAGCCATCGCTACTATCACTTTTAACTGCCACTTTAGTCAGAGCTCTTGCTCTGCCAACAGAAGCTCGTGCGATTCATTTCTATCCGAAGTATAACCGACTAGAAAGAAGTGTACCGATATAAATAATTCGTTAACTATAATATATATTTAAAAAGATATATTTCTTAAATAAATGAGAAATCTAAAATAACCTTAAGTAAGTTGTAATATATATTTTTTGAAGGCAACATCTTTGGGCATTCGATTTACATGAGTAGATTTATAAACATATCTATTATTTCAAAAAGTATTATGTTTCTATAATAATATTATTCATAATTAACCGATTATTGCACTTCTTAATTTTTTATCATCCGATTGAAACGCTTATTGAAACGCTTATCGGTACATGTCGAAAACGATGACGATATCTCTACGGAATACTTTGCGATCCGATAACGAATGCAACAACGATACTATCTGATGATATCTCAACCTGCTACAATAGTAATACAAAAATGCAATTAATGTTACACACTGCACATTGTTGGAATTTTTACAGATAACACACCCTGCATCGCGTTATCCAATCAGCAGATACCGATAAACTGTAAAACAATGTGAGAACGAGATTAACATTTAAAAATATAGTGTATCATAGATATCTATTACAAAAAATATGATAACGATAAATTTATACTCTGTACCAATGGCAAAATTTGATACCTACTTTGTATCTATTACGTTTTTTGTTTTGAGATTATTCAATTTAACAGAAATTGAATTTTTATTTCAAATTTGTTTAACTTGTATAACTATATTTTTAATTTATAAACACTTTGGTAATTATAGTTCCCAAATTTTTGGCGAAGAGATACACATATTATTTTATCGCAGTTTTATATGCAAAACTACTACTATATATATTTTTTTAATTCAGTCTTTTAATTTACGCTACTTAGCTTTTAAAAGACTATATACTTCAATGCATCGATTACACCGATAATTACATGAAATATTGGGCACTAAAGTTTCACTAAATGTGATTAAACAGGCAGCACGTAAGCTGCGTCATTTCCGTAAACCCATTTCGGAATTGCAATCAACATATTGCAGCGATTCTACGACGATTATTCGAACGTTTATTGTAATGATTGGATGGGCGGGATTGGCGAGGTCGCGTATCGACTCAAAAATACCGAATGTCGAATTCATGACGCTATCAAACGGTTATTGTCGCCAACAAGTCCACAAGAGTCAGCATTCTGCCCTCGTGTAACGAAGCTATGAACTCTGTAACGAAGCTATACAAAAACATGTGTTACACGACCGCACACAAATTTCAATAGGAGATCCGTTGTACAGTCTATCCCGATTTACCTCGTGTATTTATAAATGGTCAATATGTACGGGTTATATTTCCAGCAGGAAAATATGGCAACATTTCTTTTTTAATAATAGCATTTTTCAAGTGTATTATCGAATGCGTATCACAAAATGAAATAATTAGCAAAACTTCCTTTTAGCGATGTCAATGATTCGTTACACATTTCAGTTTTAATTGATAATTAATTAACTGAATAATTTTTGTATTCTATCAACAACAACGATCACGAAGAACATAAAGAGATTTAGTTAATCGATCGATTGGCATCAAGTGACTGACGTAATAAACATTGAAAAAAATGTGTCGTCGATTTTAATAAATAATTTGCTTAAATAGTACCAATTAAATATTCACTAAATGTAAAAAAATATATTTATTTGATACAAAAACGATTAAAAAATTATAATTTTTTTCATTGAGTAAATTTATTTACTGTAAATAAATAGATATTTAATTAGTATCTACTATACTATTAATATACTATTTAAATAAATATTTATTAAAATAGTACACTTTATTTAGTACACTTTTTCTCGGTGCAATAATAAATAATGCAGTATGAGAAAAAGATAAAAGATTAGAAACTGAATTAAGATTTGAAATATATGCAGTGTAGATGAGAGAAAATCGTCGCGCATTGTTTCGTTTCTAGAATAATGAACACTGTGAAAAGTAGTCGGAGTAATTAAAGTCAAGAATGGAGGAAGATTGTAAACCAAAAAGAATATTTCCAGAAAGATGGGAGGTAATATGAGAAACTAGGTTAAACAAGTACGAATTTAGCGTACTCTTTACACGGAAGCTTTTAATCTATCTTGTAAAAGCATTGCAAGTGAACTGTATGGCAGTGGTTTAGTCAGAAACTAATATATCGCATTTCCTTAAACAGGGCTTTCTAAAATTCTTAATTGAACGAGAATAAGTCAAACATTTGTAATCCAATATTTAAATTTGATTTAATAACGAACGTTTTTCGTATATATGAACTTTGAAAGCGCCGCGTTTCGAAGTCGCGCG